TCATTGGTGGGGAGGCGGAGTTATGTGGAGGGGCGGGCATTGTGGACACACTCTGATTGGTCTCTGTTTCAGGCTTCCTGGCTGCCAATGACATTTCCATCTCGCGCACCAACCGCCTGCGCCGCGTCCTGCACTCCTACGTCCCGCGTCACCTGCGTACAGAGGAGCGAGTACAGGTCACATCGTGGGATGGAACGGAATGGGCGGAGCATGGGTCATATGACCGGGTGAGTGCTGATTGGAGGAGTCAGGTGATGGTACAATGTGTGTGATGTCACAGACTCCTCTCCGGATCTGCAGGTTCTGGTGGACGCTCCGTGTACAACCGACCGGCACTCCCTGACAGAGGACGAGAACAACATCTTCACCCGGCTGAGGACCCGAGAACGTCAGACCTTGCCGGCCCTGCAGACCAAATTATTGCTGTGAGTGTGCGAGAGCGCCGATCGGAACTCCTCCCCCTGTACTGAGACCAAACAGAACTCCTCCCCCTGTACTGAGACCCTCCCCCCACAGCCAAACAGAACTCCTCCCCCGTACTGAGACCCTCCCCAACCAATCACAACTCCTCCCCCTGTACTGAGACCCTCCCCACAGCCAATCACAACTCCTCCCCCTGCACTGAGACCCCCCACAGTCAATCAGAACTCCTCCCCCCGTACTGAGACCCTCCCCAACCAATCACAACTCCTCCCCCTGTACTGAGACCCTCCCCACAGCCAATCACAACTCCTCCCCCTGCACTGAGACCCCCCACAGTCAATCAGAACTCCTCCCCCCGTACTGAGACCCTCCCCAACCAATCAGAGCTCCTCACAGGACGGATGATGGATTTGGATAGTCGGGGGAGGGGATGGTTGTAGTTGGTGGACTCTGATTGGCTGATATGTGTTGTTGGATCCTCCCAGGTCCGGTCTGCGCGCGGTGGTCCCGGGGGGGCAGGTGGTGTACTCCACGTGTTCTCTGTCTCCTCTTCAGAACGAGTTTGTGGTGGAGCGAGCGCTGGAACTGGCCGCCGCTGAATACGGGATTGACGCCACGATCGCCGAGCTCCGCCCCTTGCGCCAGATATTCAGGAAGACGTTCAACTTCCATGAGGAGTGCCGCATCGGGGAGCTGGTGACCCCCCACCTGACCGCCAACTTCGGCCCCATGTACTTCTGTCTGCTGAGGAGAGGGAGGTAGGGCTGAAGACGGGGACCCTATGGTTTATTTCCGGCTCCTCCCTGCACTGCGGGTTACTCCGCCTCCATCTCTTCTTTTTACATGAAGACCCGCCGGCCCGTCTCCCCGTTGTCCAAAAACACGCCGACCTCGACGCTGCGCGGCCTCTCTGTATGCGTTGCTTTTATGCGAGCGTGTTGTGCGTTGTGTTACGTTTTGTTCTCTTTGTTATTCTCCATAAAAATTTATATGAGAAGAAAAAGAACAAACGTCCGCCGCCGTCCCGCCGCAGCATGGCATTCTGACAGAAGCCAGCAGCATATAAACAATTGCTAGCTCCGCCCAACTGTTTACATTTGTTCATTACCTGACAGGTGAGCCGTGGTTGGGCAAAGTCTTGCAGCTGATCTGAGGTCAGGTGCAAAGCTTTAGCCAATCAGGGCTCACAAGGCGCAGTGACTTGTAGGGCGCTCGGCGGGCGAACACATGAACTGCCGATGTTTAAGTCCGTCGCTACCTGGTGCGCCTCATAAAGGGGCCAGTGACAGGATATGTGTGTATTTCAGATTGCACTTTGTCACTATGCCACCCTCAGCAAGGACTCTGTGTGGCCCCAAAACGTTGCCTGTCATATATGTGACACTGTTTCAATATAAAATAACACAAGGATTTCACAAAAGTTTCAATACCCTGCCAACCACAATATGGCGCCCTGCCTTTACCTTGACAGCCACAAGATGGTGCCTTGCCTTTACCTTGACAACCACAAGATGGCGCTTTGCCTTCACCCTGACAACCACAAGATGGCGCCCTGCCTTTACCCTGACAGCCACAAGATGGCGCTTTGCCTTCACTCTGACAACCACAATATGGCGCCCTGCCTTTACCTTGACAGCCACAAGATGGTGCCTTGCCTTTACCTTGACAACCACAAGATGGCGCTTTGCCTTCACCCTGACAGCCACAAGATGGTACCCTGACAACCACAATATGGCGCCCTGCCATCACCATGACAACCACAAGATGGCGCTTTGCCTTCACCCTGACAACCACAAGATGGTGCCCTGCCTTTACCTTGACAACCACAAGAGGGCGCCCTGCCATCACCCTGACAACCACAAGATGGCGCTTTGCCTTCACCCTGACAACCACAAGATGGTGCCCTGCCTTTACCTTGACAACCACAAGATGGTGCCCTGCCTTTACCCTGACAGCCACAAGATGGCGCTTTGCCTTCACTCTGACAACCACAAGATGGTGCCCTGCCTTTACCTTGACAGCCACAAGATGGCGCCCTGCCTTCACTCTGTCAACCACAAGATGGCGCCCTGCCACCACCCTTCCAGCCACAAGACGGTGCCCAGTTCTCAACCTACCAACCACAAGATTGTGCCCCGTTATCAGCCTACCAACCACACTATGGCGCCCCACCTTCACCCTTTCAGCCACAATATGGCGCCCTGTCCTCACCCTGCTAGCCAAAAGACTGCGCTGCCCTTATCTGCCAACCATAACATGGCGATATGCCAAAGTAAAATCCCGCTCTTGCCAGCCACAATATGGCGCCTGATTTATTCCGCGCCAGTCAAAAGATGTCCGCTCGCTCACGTGACTTCTCCGGTTGTCGGAAGGATTGAGGTCACCTGACCAGGAGAAGATGGCGGTCTCCGAGTGACGGGCGGGTGGGTCTCTTCGGTTTTGTCCGGTTGTCTCCGTGTTTGGTTGTCCGTAGGCCATGGAGGAGGCTCCGGAAGATGCTGGAGGGTGCCCAAGCCTGTTCCAGCTGTGTGCCCGGGCCGTCGCCGCCAACATGGAGCGCCTGGAAGAGGAAGTGTGTGGAACGTCTCGGCCAATCAGTGGAAAGTCTGAAATTCCTTCACATGCGTTCGTCTGACCCCGAGACCCGGAAATCCCTGAGGCTCCTCCTCCATGACCTCATCCACCACGGACACGTCAACAAGGTGTCAGTGCTGTCGTGGCCCCGGCCGGACAAGGACCTCCTCCTCCTCATCCTGAATATCAGTGCCGGGTACTGGCCGGGGGTCCCCGATCACCCCTGCGCCCTGTGCGCCCCTCCCCCCGAGGAGCCGCCCACCCAAAGTGCCTTGCTAAGTCTGCAGCCTCTTCACATCGACCAGAATGTGGCCCCTGACCAGAATGTGGCCCCAGAGGCGGCCGGGGACCAGTCTGAAAATGAGGACTTGTTCACCTTAGTCTTCGAAAGTCACAGTACGGACGAGGAGGCCGGGCCCC